CTGAGGCCCTCTGAACTGAGTGGTTTTGACGCCAAATGGCACCACAGATAGTGGTTATGGCCAGAGCCAATATGCTCCTTAATGGCATTAAATCCTTGAGATATGAATCAATAGGATATGATCGATAGGGAACAAAGCCCTTTGTTAGCTATGGTGGATTCAAATTTGTCCCCTTAGACAAACATCCAACCCAGATCTATAAGGTCCCCTTGGACGAAGCAACCCATGGCTGCCGACAAGGATCCTTTTGTCAGGTTGGGTCAACTACCTCCTCTGACTAAGTAGACCAGGGCCCACGATGGCCCGGGATGACGGAACCACGGGATCTTGATCGGGTCTTCATCCATTCCCCCACCATCCGCTTTAAGTTCCAGATGGTGAAAATTTCAGTTTTAAATATCAAATTTATCAAGTCTCCTAACCCAAATTCTAAACATCTTTCAATCTTCCAAATTCTCCAAATTTCCAAACCCATTGATGCTACTATATGCCAGATAACACGTATTTTCTACGTATCTGATCGACGACTAGCCTTAATCGAAAGTTCTCTCTCGTGATCGGGAGGGGTAATTAACTATAGGGGCTTGCGCCTATAAGAAACCAAAACTCAGATCATAAAGTCCTCACAAAATGAGGGCGAAATCTCTGGGTAGTGTCTTATCTACAAACCCATCTGCCTTCCAAAATTTACCTCGGAACTTATTCAGTTAAAACTCCCTCACCGAATAGAAAAGAAAAACGTGCGGCGGGGAGGCCGGGGCCGAATTTTCAGAGCCCACAGTTGCCATGTTCATGGCCCCTGAATTTTTTTGTCTCAAATGATAAAGCTTTAGAATTAAATGTTGGTCAAGTGAAACATAGACAGTTTCATTCCTAAAGAGCATTTTAAGACAATTGAGACTCCTTTATCAATTAGAGAAGAAACTATTGCACTAATTCCAACCACAAATTTTCCTCCACTGAAAAGATTAATTATACAAAGGAGGTTGGCTATTTAAAATAACTAACTTGTTTAAATGGTGAAAGTGATTTTGATAGAGGAGAGAATGTTGAACCAATAATATATTATGAAGCTATTTCAAGTTCTTAATCTCATATGTGGATTAATGCCATGAAAGATGAAATGTTAACAATGTTTCATAATAATGTATAAGATATTGCTGAGCTCCACCAAAGACATTAGATTGTTAAATGTAAGTTGCTTTTCAAGACCAAGAAAGACTACAAGGGAAAGATTAAATGTTTCAGAGTTAGAATAGTTGCTAAAAGAATTGACTTGAGAACATATATGGATTTTAAGTTTTAACGATATATTTTCTCCTTATCTTCAAAAAGTTCATTCAGAGTTATTATGGCATGTGTGGTTCATTTTAATTTAGGGACTATTTAGTTGGTTTTAAAGTGAATGCAGTATAAAATAAATGCAATCATAAATAAATACTTGAGATTATTCAATTGTTTGTAAAGTGACTGCAGGAGAATTCTTTTTTGATATGCAAAGTAAAGTAAAATATGTATATTCCTCTCCAAAATATATATAGATACACATGCACACAAAAAAACCAAGATGAAACAATAGAGATGGGAAAAAAAATTTAGTGTTGATTCCTCTCAAAAATCTTGCTTCCAATCAAAATGTCATCACTTCCGATTGGACAGAAAAAGAACATCATCGAAGGAAGTTGCAGCCAAGTCAAGAAGAAATGGAGTGGAGAATTGATTCTAATTTTATGTTTCGAACTACTCAAGTTTATTTAGGAAATTAAAAAGGACGTTTACAATACAGAATTTTAGTATTTAATCACCTTAACAGATGTTGCAAGCACAGGGACAAGATGACTCTGTGTATTAACATTGAATCCATCCATAACACCCCTGCATGGAAGAAGTGAAACATCATATTAGTGCTGACATAATGAATGAGTAGTTTCTAACAGCT